CTGTTAATAATCTTGTCCTTAAAACTGAATTTTTTTTAAAAAACCCATTGTTTTCATTGCGTATTCGTATTTACAATAGACGAACAAGTAGACGCCGATTCAAAGCAAAAAATCAAAACAAAGAGTCAGAGTGCTTACAGTTAATTAAGTAACCGGAACTTTTCATAACATTACATTTCACGCTTTTCAGTGTCAGGTTGTCATCTCTAGCATTAGCCTCCCGTGATATTGATGAACACAAATTTTCACTGTATGCGGGATATTCTATCAAAATAATCACCACACATTGCTGCACATGTGAATTAATTTCCAAACATTCTCCACTCATGTGTTAATTACTATAAATTGTTTTTAATCGTTACACGAATTATTAGTCAAATGCAGATCAAAGACATTCGTTGCTGTAAGAAAACAGCAACACATGTGCAGTTGTAAATTGTGAAATCATAAGGACAAGGGAAAGCTAAGGCCACATATACAAATGTGCATTGATCCGTACAGAAGTTTTCAAGATATTTGTTAAAGTGTGAGAGCACGACTTTTTAAACGCACTATTGAAGGACTTTGAGGGCTGTGTGTATTGTGATTTCTGAATGCTTAAGTTTGTTAATTGTATAAATGTTCGGCAAGTTCCCCTACAGTGGCTTTGCTTAACGCTGTCATTACGAACTACACAACTCCCATGACGCAGTACGCAATTATTGAAACATCTTCACTGTGGAGAGACTTATGAAAAACCCTATATGCGAAAACAGCTACGTTTCAGCTTTTGTTTTTGTGTTTTTTATTGAAACAAAGACACACACACACACACACACGCACGCACGCACACACATACAATTCGGAGATGCGGGGTTAATAAAGGAAGCGAATGATAAAATAAAAAGAGACACGACACTCTTATAGAAGCCCCACTAGAGAGAGAGAGAGAGAGAGAGAGAGAGAGAGAGAGAGAGAGAGAGAGATAGAGATAGAGAGAGAGAGAGAGAGAGAGAGAGAGAGAGAGAGAGAGAGAGAGAGAGTGGTAGACATCAATATGAGTGGGAAAGTAACATTAAAATATAGACGAACATCAGTCTCAGATTGTGTACATCCATGCTGAGAGACAGCAATAAAAAAGCCCCAGCAAAGCAAATTGGAGATCCTTTGCTGCGGAGATGGCACTTGACTGATTGGCTCATTGATTGAATGCAGCATTTACTATGTAAGCGGCGTCCGTGGTTTATGCGTTGCGAGTCCGACTCGTAATTCAAACGTACCGCGATCGAAACCCACTGCTGGCTGCGTGGATTTTTATCATGGTATAGAGCGTCGCAGGTCGACCTAGCCTAAAGTGGGTACCAGGATGTATGTTCTGGGGAAGTAAAGACGGCCGGTGTAATGTTGACCACTTTACCCACGTAGTGCCGATTGGTCTGTAAAATATGGGTGCTCTTCCTATATGCCCAATGCGCCTAAAGAAATCTTCACTTTACTTTACTTTACTTAGACTGTCAATAACCGAATATTTACACCCTACAGGAAGAAAGAGTTACTGTTCGCAAGAGGACGATCACTTGTAAAAGAACTATTACCAGAGGTAACTTTTATATAATCATCATCAAGTTCCTTGCCGACTAGCATTGACGATCATGCCTCTCCAAAATCTGCAATCTTCAACAGCCTGTATCCGATCGTGTGCTGATATCCCAGGCTGCATAACAAAAAGCTGCCAAGAATCTCTCGATGTCTTCCTCGTGTCTCTTTTTTAACAGTATTTTTTAGTGGTCACATCCTCAAGTGCCTTGCCGACTGGCGTGGGCGATCATACCTCTCCACAATTTGCGATCCGCAACTGTGTATCAGTTCGGGCGTTGACACCTTTCCATGCCATAACAAAAGGCCGCCAATAATCGTTTCACTTTCTTCCTCTTTCTCTTTTTTCCATAAATCTTTACAGTGGCAACAAAATGTTCAATTTTTCCTCTTCTCATAATAAAACCCTCCTACCCTTTTTTCCAAAGTTGATGTTTGTGATAAGCTGTCTTCGAGCCCTCGCCTCTTTCACATTATCTGGGTTGCTATTCTTGGCTATCCCCACCCCCCCCCCCCCCCCCCCAAAAAAAAAAGCGGTCATATATTCAAGTTTCCTTCTTCTCATAATATGACCCCAACAAATGACGACTTTGTCATGTCTGCGATATGTTGTCTTCGAGCCCTTGCAAAAGATGTTAAACTAACCCAAATATATAAACATGTTCCAATATCTTGTGTTAGTAAATGATAAGCCAACAATGCATCTCGAGATTGCTACACTAAACATTCTCAGCGAAAACAAGTATTCTGGCCTTCGCTCAAAGGTCTCCCAATTTAAAAATGGGTAGCGGAAATTGTCTTGAGAATTAAAGGTGACAGTTGTCATAATTACTGTTGGCCACATCACAAGTTAAGTGTTGCTTGATTAATTAGTCTTTAAAATATAAGCATAGCATCATATGTCTATTGTGCCACTATGAAGGTGTTCACATTTACTGTGGGATAGACAGTTCTATTCCTTTACCACAACCGGAACAAAAGAGGCAACAACCTACAAGACGAGCAGGCAAAACAGGACTAAAATGGAACCCAGACAAGTAAGAATGGTCAAAACACACAGATAGAGGCTTTTAGGCTTTAACCATCAATCCAGTCACAAATACACAAATTTCATACAATAAACCTGGCACACAAAAACCCAGACCACAACAATAACTGAACGCTCTTCGCAGGTAAAACATTTCGAAGCTGGTTTAATGTGGCTGATCTTTGCCCTTCCCCTCCTTTTTTTCTTCTCTTTTACCCCCTCCAACCCCAATCTCCAAAAGAATGGAAATTTCCCATTACCCACATTTTTTAGTCTAGATCAACCTCAGTGAAAATAACCCCAACTTTTTAGGTTTCTAATGCAGCAGTCACTGTGGCACTTTCCATATTTCTAGTTCCTGGCTCTATTTTGGGTAAAAAAGCATAGACCCACAGACCCATTACAAGCATGCCGTAAAATACTACACATTATTGAGTTTACTAGAATTGGCTGTTATAGGCTGAAATGTGTCGCTATCGCAACTGAGCTGTAAACAACAATCCATCCTTCCAAAATACAATTAGGAGCTGACACAAAAGGAGAAAAAAATGAAAAAAAAAAAAAAAAGAAAGAAAGAGAGAAAGAAGAAGAGGAAGAAGGAGGATGAGGAGGAGAAAAAGAAATTTAACATTCTTCCACAGACCCGTACTGTGCTCAGAAGACTCATCATCATCATCATCATAAACCACTTCTGCCGTTAAGCGACGTGGGGAGGAATAATTTGCGATCCAGTGCACGTTGGCTGCCACTGGTTATTGTCATGCCGTGAAGGCGTAGAGTGTCTTTAATGTTGTCGATCCATATTTTCCGCGGCCGTCCTCTTGCTCTTGTAGTAGATCTATTGAGATGTAGTGCTTGTGATGGTATTTGATCTTGCTGCATTCTAACGAGATGGCCAAACCACTTGATCTGCTGTTTCTCGATGAATCTAATACAAGGTGTCGTTCCCACAATTTGCCTGATAGTTTCATTATTCACTCGATCTAGTATGGTTAGGTTTGCTGCTTTTCTCAGGCATCTCATCTCGCAGGTGGTAATTTTGCGTATATGGGCTTTAGATAGTGTCCATATATGGCACTGGTAGCTTAATGTTGGAATGAATATGCTATTAATAATCTGTCTCTTTGCACTCATAGTTATGCTTGGATGTCTTAATAATGGTGACAATTGGTAAATAAGTGCACTTGCTTTCTGACATCTGGTTCCTATTTCTCTGTCAATTCTACCATCTTCTGTGATCATACTTCCTAGATATTTAAACTCCCTAACTTGATTCAGGGCAGAACCATTCAGCTGTATGTGTAGTGGGACAGGACTTCTACTAGCTTGCACTTTTTCGGAGAATAGACACTGTGCTTAGAAAACTAAATGGTGTTAAAACACAATCTATTCCACAGACCAGGCACTGTGCTTAGAAGACTAAATGGTGTTAAAACATAATCTATTCCACAGATCAGGCACTGTGCTAAGTAAACTAAATTGTGTTAAAACACAATCTATTTCACAGACCGACTATAGCTTAGAAGACTAAATGGTGTTAAAACACAATCTATTCCACAGACCGACAATGGCTTAGAAGACTAAATGGTGTTAAAACACAATCTATTCCACAGACTGACACTGTGCTTTGAAGACTAAATGGTGTTAAAACACAATCTATTCCACAGACTGACACTGTGCTTTGAAGACTAAATGGTGTTAAAACACAATCTATTCCACAGACTGACACTGTGCTTAGAAGACTAAATGGTGTTAAAACACAATCTATTCCACAGACTGACACTGTGCTTAGAAGACTAAATGGTGTTAAAACACAATCTATTCCACAGACTGACACTGTGCTTAGAAGACTAAATGGTGTTAAAACACAATCTATTCCACAGACTGACACTGTGCTTTGAAGACTAAATGGTGTTAAAACACAATCTATTCCACAGACTGACACTGTGCTTTGAAGACTAAATGGTGTTAAAACACAATCTATTCCACAGACTAACACTGTGCTTAGAAGACTAAATGGTGTTAAAACACAATCTATTCCACAGACTGACACTGTGCTTAGAAGACTAAATGGTGTTAAAACACAATCTATTCCACAGACTGACACTGTGCTTAGAAGACTAAATGGTGTTAAAACACAATCTATTCCACAGACCGACACTGTGCTTAGAAGACTGAATGGTGTTAAAACACAATCTATTCCACAGACTGACACTGTGCTTAGAAGACTGAATGGTGTTAAAACACAATCTATTCCACAGACTGACACTGTGCTTAGAAGACTAAATAGAGTTAAAACACAATCTATTCCACAGACTGACACTGTGCTGAGAAGACTAAAGGAATATTTTGATCATCAAACTGAGACAGGCTTGCAAGTCAAGGTCATGCACAAGAGGAACAGTCTCAAAGGCAGCTCCAGGCTGACACTGAGCAGTCTGGCGAGTGACACAAGAAGGCATTCCTTGGCCGAGTGCTACATTTTACACTTTGATCCCACGGTAATTAATCATTGATGAGCATAGTTTGTTTTTTCTTTTCCGCACATTATATTACAGTTTTGTTATGCTTTAACATGGGACACTAACAGCAATGTACTCGATATCAGGGACGCTGGAACCTGCAAGTTTAGATTTCTTAAGCGTCGCCCCCCCCCCCCCCCCCACACCCCAATAAAAAAAAATAATCCCACTTTTACCGACTTTTCTGTCCCCAAAGAATTTGTAAGACGGTTGAGTGGCCTCGCTAACATTCAATAGAAGTTTTTTTGGGAAGTATTTGTTTGCAAATTTCAATTAGTTTTGATGTATATTATGAAATTTATTTCATATTCAGCACATTATTATTATCATACACTTAAACAAGATGTATGTCCATGGACGCCACTTCCCAGAACATTTGTAAGAAGGTAGAGCTTACCCTGCTCCTGTTGTAATATGTTCTTTATGTCTGCGCATGTGTTAAGTACAAGCTCAAAACGGCTCAGCATTTTTTTTTTGCGGCTGCTGCTGGTCTACTTCATCCTCCTCTTTCTTCTTCTTCGTCTTCTTCTCCTTGTCCTTCTCCTCCGCCTCTTCTCCCCCACCCACTTATTTTGCCTTTCATCTCCTAATATAAGACTAATGCCACCATACACCGAACCTTGTTGGAACACATTCACGATTAGTTCGATTTTGCACCGAAGATATTGCAAGGTTAGTAACCGTTATCTGGACAGAGAAATTAGCTTGAGATGTGCCAAAGCTAATCAAGTAATGGGGCAACTATCTCCTCTGTTGACACACAAGCAGATACCTCGGAGTACTAAAGTGAATCTTATCAGAACTATTTTTTGGCCAACACTATGTTATCAGTGCCAAACGTTAACACTTACATCCTCCAATAAACGTAAAGTTGTGACGAAATCAAGAAATCAGACGAATGCTAGGAATAAAGCCTGTAGTACAGGTCATCAAAGAACAGCAAATGAAGTGGTTTGGACACCTAACAAGAATGCCCTGGTACTATCTGCCACACTAAAACGTTACAACGGGTATAGAGCGAGTGCAAGACCTCGGAAAATATGGAGTGATGGCATTAAGAATAGTCTTACAGAAATGAACATCAATGTTAATAGTGCTCTTGACAAAGCTCATCAACGAGCGTTACATCTTCCCCTGACACTTCGATGAGGTACAAGGTGGAAGAGAAGAAGAAGAAGAAGAAGAAGCAACCGTTATCCCATCTCCTAAACTGTATAACGCAGTAAACTCCACAACGCTTTGAGATGTTGTTGCTGGCACCTGTCCTTGTTTACAGACGATAGTATTATATTGTGCCTTGAGGAGGTCTGGGCCAGTGTAAACAGCCAGATCTGAACGCGTTAAGAAAAGTCCTCCACAAGTAGAGCATAACATCTCAGGACCGTTGTTGCAATCATGTGTTTGGTGTGTTTCTTCTCAGACGCTCAGTTTTCAGCCTTTCTGCAATCATTTCTTCCTTCATTTGCCTTCCCTTCCTGATTTATCCCCTCCACGCAACAAAGTTCTAGACAATCCCCCCACCCCCCCAACCAATGAATCCACATCAATACCTGTACCATTTATGTCCCGCTTGCACACATCTTTATATCATAGTAGAGGTCAGCCTCCATATGTTCTTCCCAAGATAAAGCAGCAAAAGATATCCCATTCTTTTTTTTTTCTTTTTCAGTTGTACATGACAGAAGCACCAGAATCTGAAAAAAGGGGATGGGGGGGGGGGGGGTAGGGAACTTGAGCCCCCCACCCTTTTATTCCCCAGAAAATTAGTTTGCAGGAGACAGGAGACCTTGTGAAGAAGATATGATGATATTTTTGCCTCTCTCTATTTTCTGCCTCTTTTTCGCTTCTTGGACCTGGCTGAAGCTCCTTCGGTTTATTTGACTAAAAAATCTGGCAATGAACTTTTACCTCTGCCTTCTCCTTAAGGTGTTTCGGTATTGTGACATTGTCCGGTCATTGCAGACAATGTCTGTTAGGGTTTGTCTGGACTTTGTTGGGGTGTTACGTCTCTGCATAATGACCTCTATCCGTGGCTTTGTATCGAGAAAGGTAAACACTGTTAGCGCTATCATGTGACTAATTTTAACTCGTACAAGTTCGTATACCAAACTAAGGTCGCACACTAAACAAAAGTTTTCGCATCTAAACAGGACCTATACCAAGTTGAACGTATACCAAAGCGGAAGTATACCGAGGGATTTATTGACGCTCAATATTACAAGGATACGACACCGAGCGATAAACACCAGGTGACACAATGCCCCAGCATTCGGATAAGAATCCCTCAGGGACAGGACCCATAAACCCCATTCGACCGTCAGGTAATATTATGGCCATCGACCCAGTTGGGGTGGGGCTATGAAACAACAAACAATTTCAACCCGTATTAGGATGATTTTCAAATACCGAGGGACCATTGTATTTCACAAATTACGTAAGTAAAGTAAAGTAAAGATCCCTTTACACGCCCTTAGGCGCATCGGGCATATGTGAAGAGCACCCATATTTTTACAGACCAATCGGCACTCGGTGGGTAATGTGGTCAGCATTACGCCAGCCGTCTTTACTTTCCCAGGACAGCCCATACTGGTACCCATTTGAGGCTGGGTCGACCTGCGACGTCCCATACCACGATAAAAATCCACGCAGCCAACGTAGGTTTCAATCTCGGTACGTTGGATTACGAGTCAGACTCGCAACGCCTTAGCCACAGACGCCCTGTAATTCAACACAGCAGGATGTAAACATACTTAACATACACTCAAACATACATAACATACACTCGTCTCCCTCTTACAGATTCCTTGGCGGAAATTACGTCTGTGGGTCAGAATCCGAAGTGTTCTCGGACATCTACACGACAAAGTTATAGATGAAGTCATGTAAGTCTTTAGACTGTTTTTCAGTACTTTTCGGAAAAGTAAAATACTCAAAATTTTAAAACTTTAAATGGTGGTCCAAAAAACGTTATGTTGAGAAATGCTCTCCTACGACATACGCCTGGCCAAATCAGATGGAGCTGAAACCAAGGAGGGAACATCAGAAATGAAAGAGAAAGAATAACACAGTTGACAACAGGATAGGGGATGAGCGGTCTGGCTTAAAGGAAAGAAGTATTAAGCTCAAAGATGGCGCAAATACCAGAACTTGAGACGAAAGTGGCGCAAATAAACAAGACCACAAATATAGCCGGAGACTGTTGGCAACTTCGGCTAGCTAGCAGCAGTTTGAACGTGTTTGAGTGTTTAATTTTTTCTTTAAAGGATTTGGAATTGGGAAAAGTTTTTAGACAGGCGGTAAATAGCCTACACGTTATTGATCCATCCGACTGATTGTTCCTGTAGAAATGGGTGACTGTCTTGTCTAACGCCATCGTATGGCAATAACTACGACTCTCGAAGTGTCTTATAGCATGCTCTGTTTGTAGTCTCATCCCATCGGCGACCATGGCTAGTAGCATAAGGTGATGTTCAACACCACCAAGGCCGCACAACCGGCGAGCAACATCCGGTGACACAAAGTGCCATCATTTGGATGAAAATTCACACAGGCGCAAATTCCAGTCACCCCGTTTAACTGGTAGGTTATAGTAGAGCCCCTGTCGAGAGCCAGGATGAGGCTTTTAAAATAGCATACAGTTGTATCCCATGTCGGGATGAAGGTAATACCATGGCTACACCTCACTCTTTGGCTTTAAAAAAAAATTATATAAAGTTCCAATTTGTTTATTTGTTGTTTACACAATTAGCGTTTTGTCTCTCTACTCTTTCCTCAAAATCTTTCAAGCTTACATTTTGCACACATACTCATTGTTGGTGACAATACAGCGTGGTGCAAAACTGTTCCGACAAATAATGATAATTTTGGATGCAAAAATGTTTTATTAAAAATATATTTTCAATAAATTAATACATTTTCAGACAATCAATACACGGTTTAGCCATCATAATATTCCATATGTACTCTATTTCATGATAACACAACAAGCGCAAATTTGTCACATACATGCTTTGGGAAGGACAATGCAGTGTGATTCAAACAAATTCAGGCAACACAAAAGTTCACTGATAATTTTTGAATTACGAAATAATGAAATTTTATATTGTAAACACCTCCCCCCCCCCCCCCCCCCCCCCTGTGTCGGTTCCAGGGCCCTATTATAGGGAAAACAAGAATAGACCCACTGTAAAGACCCAAAAGTATGTCGTAAAAGTCGACTAATAGTGAGGTTCCTTCAAAGTCGGAATGTATCTGCCTGAGAGGCAAGAAACCAACAGTCTGCAAACAAATGTGTCAGAACTGTCAAACAGATGCATACGCAACACTCAGGTACTAGAACAGGACTGCAATCCAGAAATGGACGAACAACCAGAGCTTTCTACCAGAGTTAACAGCTGTGAACGCAAAGAAGAAGAAGATATTGTAAACTTTGTGTAGAAGATATACCGTCTGCGTTGCTTGGAATTCTCAGCTAGTTCTCGCTTTCACAGAACTGCATGTTTTACCTGGCCAGTGCAGATGTCACAGGTACACTCATTATATCTTTTTTGGAGATATTTTGGATCTGTCTTGTTGGTCTGGCCAGTGCAAATGTCACAGGTACACTCATTATATCTTCTTTGGAGGTATCTGGGATCTGTCTTGTTTTTCTGGCCAGTGCAGATGTCACAGGTACACTCATTATATCTTCTTTGGAGGTATCTGGGATCTGCCTTGTTGGTCTGACCAGTGCAGATGTCACAGGTACACTCATTATATCTTCTTTGGAGGTATCTGGGATCTGCACTGTTGGTCTGACCAGTGCAGATGTCACAGGTACACTCATTATATCTTCTTTGGAGGTGTCTAGGATCTGCCTTGTTAGTCTGGCTAGTGCAGATGTCACAAGTACACTCATTATATCTTCTTTGGAGGTATCTGGGATCTGTCTTGTTGGTCTGGCCAGTGCAGATGTCACAGGTACACTCATTATATCTTCTTTGGAGGTATCTGGGATCTGCCTTGTTGGTCTGGCCAGTGCAGATGTCACAAGTACACTCATTATATCTTCTTTGGAGGTATCTGGGATCTGCCTTGTTGGTCTGGCCAGTGCAGATGTCACAGGTACACTCATTATATCTTCTTTGGAGGTATCTGGGATCTGCACTGTTGGTCTGACCAGTGCAGATGTCACAGGTACACTCATTATATCTTCTTTGGAGGTGTCTAGGATCTGCCTTGTTAGTCTGGCTAGTGCAGATGTCACAAGTACACTCATTATATCTTCTTTGGAGGTATCTGGGATCTGTCTTGTTGGTCTGGCCAGTGCAGATGTCACAGGTACACTCATTATATCTTCTTTGGAGGTATCTGGGATCTGCCTTGTTGGTCTGGCCAGTGCAGATGTCACAAGTACACTCATTATATCTTCTTTGGAGGTATCTGGGATCTGCCTTGTTGGTCTGGCCAGTGCAGATGTCACAAGTACACTCATTATATCTTCTTTGGAGGTATCTGGGATCTGCCTTGTTGGTCTGGCCAGTGCAGATGTCACAAGTACACTCGTTATATCTTCTTTGGAGGTATCTGGGATCTGTCTTGTTGGTCTGGCCAGTGCAGATGTCACAGGTACACTCATTATATCTTCTTTGGAGGTATCTGGGATCTGCCTTGTTGGTCTGGCCAGTGCAGATGTCACAAGTACACTCGTTATATCTTCTTTGGAGGTATCTGGGATCTGCCTTGTTGGTCTGGCCAGTGCAGATGTCACAGGTACACTCATTATATCTTCTTTGGTGGTATCTGGGATCTGCCTTGTTAGTCTGGCCAGTGCAGATGTCACAAGTACACTCATTATATCTTCTTTGGAGGTATCTGGGATCTGCCTTGTTGGTCTGGCCAGTGCAGATGTCACAAGTACACTCATTATATCTTCTTTGGAGGTATCTGGGATCTGCCTTGTTGGTCTGGCCAGTGCAGATGTCACAAGTACACTCGTTATATCTTCTTTGGAGGTATCTGGGATCTGTCTTGTTGGTCTCTGGCCAGTGCAGATGTCACAGGTACACTCATTATATCTTCTTTGGAGGTATCTGGGATCTGCCTTGTTGGTCTGGCCAGTGCAGATGTCACAAGTACACTCGTTATATCTTCTTTGGAGGTATCTGGGATCTGCCTTGTTGGTCTGGCCAGTGCAGATGTCACAGGTACACTCATTATATCTTCTTTGGTGGTATCTGGGATCTGCCTTGTTAGTCTGGCCAGTGCAGATGTCACAAGTACACTCATTATATCTTCTTTGGAGGTATCTGGGATCTGCCTTGTTGGTCTGGCCAGTGCAGATGTCACAAGTACACTCATTATATCTTCTTTGGAGGTATCTGGGATCTGCCTTGTTGGTCTGGCTAGTGCAGATGTCACAAGTACACTCATTATATCTTCTTTGGAGGTATCTGGGATCTGCCTTGTTGGTCTGCTGTCTAGTCTGCTATTGATTAAATCTCAGGATAGCATGGTAAACCTTTAGGTAGAAGCCAGGAGGGGACACGTCGATCGATCAGAGATCATCCTCACCGGCATAGCGCTGCAAGTAACACCTGCCTGGTGTAGACTTTACGGGTGCCCTCATTATAGCTTCTTTGGGGATTGAACGGGATATCTGCCATCAACATTCTTCTTTTTGTTCAGCATTCTGAGCCCTTGAGGTTCATTGCTGCCGATGTCACCCTCTTCCACTCATCTCTTTGGTTGGCCTTCTCTTTCTGCGAAAATTTACGGCATAATCAGAAAGGACAAAGGAAGAAGAAGAAGAGAATTTAGACATTTCCAGGAAACACGATTCAAATTATGTTAATTTTTCCCCCCTTTAAGTTATTTGTCTGTGTACTTTTATCAATTTTATTTTGCTTATGTCTGATTGCTAGTTACTGCCTTTGTTATACTACTATGGCGGTGTAGGCAAATGGGTGGGGGGTGGGGGGTGGGGGGGGGGGTGGTGTGTGGATCTTTGAGCCTGGGGATTTACCGCCGCATGGCTAGTGCTGTCGCGCAGGACTGTGAAGGTAAAAGTTTTATTTTGCCCCTGACAGAAAAAAAAAAAAAAAAAAATACTCCTCCTTACCAAAGATTCGAACCCAGCTCTCCCGCTTGAGAGTCCATTGTGCTAACCGTTCGACCAGCCACCCCTGTGTGTCTCACGCTCATAACTAAAACTGTGCTAATATTAGCTGTTGTCTCAAATGTATACATTATATTTTATTACTTCACGTATTGTATGATTTGCAGACGTGACCCGTCGAGTCCATTCTATATGCAGCGTGACGAAAACCCAGACCTCAAAGGCATCAACAGAAACCACTATGTGTTTTTTGATCCTACTGATTACAAGGCAAACCGGCAGGTCAGAGTATGCAAATTATTGTTCACGCACTATTTGAATATTCAGTATGGCCACCATGGCCCGGAAACCGAGGTATTTGGCCATGCTATGTAACCTCGAAAGAACTGTGATGGAGGGTGCCGTTTCCGGGAAAAGAGGCACAGGCAGACCGACCTAAAGGTGGGTACAAGACACTGAAGAAGCATTGGCTATGAAAGCACATAGGGCTGGAGAATTTGCTAGAGAAAGAGAACCTTCAGGCGTGCTGTGACAAGCGCGACGTTCTGTAGATAGGTAGGTAGTTGTACCCCACCAGGACATCACACAAGCGATAAACACATGATGACACAAAGTGCCACCATGCAGACGAGGATCACCGGTGGAGAGAGATGATAAAGAGCCCACGTATCTCGGAGTCACATTCGATGATACGTTGACATGGAGAAAACATATCAACAAGGCAGCAACCAAAGCTAGGAGGAAGACAGCCATACTAAGAAAACTAACTGGAACCACATAGGGAGCCGATGGGACAATACTCAGTAAAGTATACAAGCAGAGCATACTTCCACACTTGGAATATGGGTCAACTGCATGGTGTTCAGCATCTAGTACCACATTAAAGGAGTTGGACAAAGTGCAAAATCAAGCCCTCAGAGTCATCACAGGAGGGATGAAATCAGCCCCATATTAGAAACGGAGAAAGCTGGAAAAACACAGGCACTGAGAGAACGCAGAGATACAAAGTTGCAAATACAAGCTGAAAAGTTCCTCAGTATGCCACATCACCCGATGAAAAATAGATTTCAGAACTTAGCCTTGGGACGGTTAAAAAGAAGTAGCTTTATACATCAAGCAAAAAGAATATGTAGACAAACAACTGACCTTCCAGAAATTGGTTGTTCACTTAAAGGTATTCCAGAACAAACCCCATGGAGAGAAAAATGCAAACTAACAGTACAAATCCAGACAAATGTGAAAGGGATATTTGACATGAAAGCGCAAGATAGTGTACAACGCAGAATGGACACCCTCAGTTATATTGATGAAGAATACCCACAAGAACAATGAGTTAGAGTCTATACAGATGAGTGCTGGAGTGTACATAGAATTCCCAGATAGTAGTAGGGATAAGTGAAGCGTACCAACCGGGAAGTACTGCCATAACTATGGTGCAGAAACTCAGGCTATTAAGATAGCTACAGAGAAACTGCTAAAAACCAACCTTGGCTCACAGTATGTGGTAATGCTGACAAATGCTAAATCCGTACTTGAAGCACTCCAGTCTAGGAAACTACCAGAATTGCAAACAATGCTGACACAACTCAGCCTTCAGCGAAGAGTCGTAATGCAGTGGACCTTCTCATTGTGGAGTGCTTGGAAATGAGAAAGCTGATCAACTGGCAGGGAAAGGTGCGACAAAAGTACTGCCGTATGTATCAGTCACATAGCACCAAAAGAAAAGAATAATTAAATCGATCAGGAAACCACCAGCCCCAGCACAAGACGAATATTTTATTATGGACAGACCAGAACAAGTTATTATCTTCCGCCTCAGAACTGGGCACAACCGATTACATAACCACATGTACACAAAATTCAAGATAGGCGTATCAGCCATGTGCACCTGTGGAAAGGTGCCCCAGACAGCAGAGCAGGTATTCCAGGACTGGACGGAATTTGACACATTAAGGCAAACCTTTGGCTAGAAAGAACAACAGTGGAACGTAAACTCTATGGACCACTGAATGAACTAACAACGACAGTGAAATTTATACAAGAGACAAAATTGCTGACTGATACAGACAACTTATTTCAGGCGAACGAAAGAAGTAGTAGAAGACCCATGGAGAGGTCTCAGAAACCCCTCTCAGCCCTTTGTCCATATCTTTGGCCTAGGTCACATGTAAAGAATGCTCTAACTGCTACCAGTGATCCGTTGCGGAGAGACCGAGCTACATGTAATTAAACTCAGAGCAAAGCATTCGATCCATGGATCCCGGTTATATTGATTTGAATATTTCCTTTCCCGTATGTATTCCGGGCCCCATTTGTAGGGGACGGAATAAACCCACTGCCACCATAAAATGCCTATCGTTAAAGACCCTTAATTGGGGTTTTTCTTCTTCGAAGTCAGAGTAAATCCATCGATCAATTTTAAGAAAAAAAAAAATCCACCGTTTTCAACCTACTTGGAGCAGTATCTGCGTGACAGGCGAAGAACCAACTGTTACTACATACAAGTAAAACCATATTTGTAAGGCGGATGTGGACATAGAATTTAAGTTCTGGAACAAGAACAAAGTCCAAAAGTAAACGAAAAACTAGAACTTTCCAAAGCAGTTTACATCCGCTGAAGGCTAACAAGAAGAAATGGTGGGAAAATTGTTTGTTTATTTATTGTGAGTGCGAGGGAAAGACGTTAGGACCAGTTTATGAACCGACAGTCAACGAGCAGGCTGAAAATGAAAACTTTTTATGAACCGACAGTCAAAGAGCAGGCTGAAAATGAAAACTTTTTATGAACCGACAGTCAAAGAGCAGGCTGAAAATGAAAACTTTCAAAGTTTGATATAATATCCAGTAGCGATACCATTTTAACCTGTCGCCTGTCAATATGTTAATGAAGTCAAGAGTCAAACATAGTGATGTCACATTAACAAGTATTATTTATTTTCTAAGGGGCCACAAACTGAGCTCGTGGGCCCATCTTACAAGTACAAGACATTGCCATTGCTTTTATAATAATCTACCATACCTTTATTTTTTTCACTTGAAGCCCCCTTGTGCATATATCCCTGAATATTCTTATGTAATTCATTCATCTAGATTAGTGTGTCTCTCCCCCCCCCCCCCCCCCCCCACAAACACACTTTTTTTCCTTCCTTGCTTTTGCATCAAAATATTCTTATTGTTTTATTCACTACTTTGGTCGAATCGTCCGCCTGCTTCTTTACCTGTCTTGCTGTACGCCGAGTTTTGCAATTTCAATTTGTATTCACATTTCCTTAACAAAAATGGCAACAAATTCTGTCTCTTTAGATGCGGACTTCACAAGAAGTGAAACGGATTCTGACTCTTCCTCCAGAAAAGAGATCCAAGGAAGAGATCCATTGTGTGAGTCACAATAAACTTTTAACTAGTCATTAACACATAATATTCTGTAACCCTCTCAGCACTAACCAACTCAGGGTGACTGATTGACCGACTGACTGACTGATTGACCGACTGACTGACGTTCAACCGCACAGTGAGCGTTAAACTCCCTGTGACCCAAAGTGCCATCATTTGGATGAGAATCACCCTGGTGCAAGTCCCAGAATCCCCCTTCAACCCCTAGGTTATATTAAGGGCTAAAAGAAGTTCAAAACACTTACGTGGGACTGAAAGAGTCGGACTGGCAGTGTGACTATGGGGGTGGGTGGTCTGTGGACGGGAGAAGCGTCATCGGTGCCATACCGGGAAAACATCGGAGCAATTATGGCCATGTCCTATGTGCGATGAAGATAATCTCTAAAAAAAAAAAAAAACGAACAATGAAAAAGTTAAATCTCTTTGTATACTTCTTTCTGCCCTTAATCTGTTTTTCCATTCCTTTATCATATACTGGATCGTATAGCTCGCACATACTACAGACTTACCTACCTTTTGTCATTTCATGTCTGTTCAAACTCCTCAATGTTGCACTGTAAGTAAGCCATCTGCTTGTTCTTCACGGCTACAAACTCACGCTGAAAAGTTTGGTGTTTTTCGCACAGTTCGTTACACTGGTATTGAGTTTTGCGTGCACATCAGTTCTACCTATCTGGCTTACATGTTTGCAGACTGTTTTTTTTCCTCGTCTCTCAGGCAGATGTACTGTGACCTGGAAAGAAACTCTCCTAATTAATAGTCTTTTACGGCATGTATGTCTGGGATGAGTGGGTCTATTTGCCCCTACAGTGCGTCTATTTGCCCCTACAGTGGGTCTATTTACAGTCGGCCCCGAAAAAGGGATATTTAAAGGGATAATTAAAGGGATATTTAAAGGGATATTTAAAGGGATATTTAAAGGGATATTTAAAGGGTTATTTAAAGGGATATTTAAAAACAGTAAAAGGCCCACGTCAGCGGGTCATGCTTATGTAGTGCTAGATCCGTATTGCATAAATCAAACGGCCTTCGATGGGTGTAGAGGCAACATAACACGGGTCTATTTACTTCCTATAAGATTTTTTGCACCCTTTTAAACGGGGTCGACCAGGGAGCGAATGTCAAAAAAAAAAAAAAAAAAAAACAACCTGCCCTAATGAAACTTTCTGGCCAGGAGACAAACATTTTGCCATTACGCCCCCCCCCCCCCACCCTTTAAAAAAAAAGAATTAAACAGTTATTGTAAGTGTTAATTGTAGTGGGTAGCAGCATACAGTGCAAGAAGAACTGACCTTTACCCTAATACAGATGAAGTCTTGCCATTTCTTGAATCCAAGATACTTGTATCTTAATATGTTGGCTCTCACATACTTCACAACTGTCCAGATGTCACCCTTACTGTCTGGTCATTTCACGCTGCGTTCTGCTCATTATCGTCAACTTCATAGTTGTCCACTTCATAGTCGTCCATTCGATAGTTGTCCACCTTATAGTTGTCCACTTCCTAGTGGTCCACTTCCTAGTTGTCCACTTCATAGTCGTCCACTTCATTATCGTCCACTTCATAGTTGTCCACTTCATAGTCGTCCATTCGATAGTTGTCCACCTTATAGTTGTCCACTTCCTAGTGGTCCACTTCCTAGTTGTCCACTTCATAGTCGTCCACTTCATTATCGTCCACTTCATAGTTGTCCACTTTATAGTCGTCCACTTCATTATCGTCCACTTCCTAGTTGTCCACTTCATGGTCCTCCACTTCATTATCGTCCACTTCATAGTTATCCACTTTATAGTCGTCCACTTCTTTATCGTCCACTTCATAGTTGTCCACTTCATAGTTGTCCACTTTATAGTTGTCCACTTCATAGTTGTCCACTTCATTATCGCCCACTTCATAGTTGTCCACTTCATAGTTGTCCACTTCATAGTTGTCCACTTCATAGTTGTCCACTTCATAGTTGTCCACTTTATAGTTGTCCACTTCATTATCGTCCACTTCATAGTTGTCCACTTCATAGTTGTCCACTTTATAGTCCCCCACTTCATTATCGTCCACTTCATAGTTGTCCACTTCATAGTTGTCCACTTTATAGTTGTCCACTTCATTATCGTCTACTTCATAGTTGTCCACTTCATAATCGTCCACTTCAGTGATTCCGAAACAGTCCACTATTTGCATTTTGACCTTTGCTAACCTCTTCCATTCAGTCGTTTATTAGTTTTTAAAAAAGTGAATGCGCTGAACTTTGACTAAGAAACCCAACCAGGAAACAGAGAGAAAATAGCAAACAACCAATATTAATAAAAAAAATAATAATAACAATAACATTTGAACGTGTTGGTAAAAGCCTTTATCGTCAGACACTTCAACAAAAAAAAAAAAAAAAGGCCGCTGTCGTGTAGTGGCTAGATGCTCGTCCGAGGCTCCGAATTAATCGAACCCAGGAACGTCGAGTATTGTCAAATTGCGAAACGCAGTTAGTAACCAGTAAACCATATAGTCATAGTTTTTCTTAATTCTGCCGCGGTTCAACCCACTTTATTCATATCTGTAATCAATCTTGATATCTTTATATTTCATGTAAAATATGCAAACACACACACACACACACACACACACACACACACACACAAACACACACACACACACACACACATATATATATATACATTTATTTTCTAAGGCAATGATAGGGTTGAGGGGAATCAGTGCTATTGCCGAGTATCCGGTCCGAATGCAGAGATATCTGGCGGAGTACGGCACATTTGAAAGGTAGAAATCTGTCTTGAGTTTTAGTATAAAAAGTCACTGTGCACCGTTTGAAAATTAATGAAGTTGGCTCTGGAGTTCGTCCAAACAATACTGTTAAAATTTGGGGAATGCCTAATCTTGGAATACTCTTTTATTGCGAAATAAATACTCATATTTTTATCAGACTGCACACAACTTTTTCAAAACCTGGCTGCACAGCGACGTTTTGAACACTTTATTTAATCATACTTAAATGTTTTCGCATAAAGCCAATACTGAACTTTATATGTAGACAACAGATCAACTGGTTTGGTCATGTTAAAAGTTTAGTACCAGACAGAGCACCATAGAGAGCATTATTATACAAATACAACGATGACAGTCTGGAGGTCGACCATGCAGGATAAGGACCGCAGAAATATCAGACACTGAAAAGTACTTTACAAGAAGCGAAAGAAAAAGTCCGTTCCATATATCTCTTCCAGCCATGACGCCGCGAGGCATTGCAGAAGAAGAAGAAAAAGAAGAAAAGAAGAAGAAGAATGTTTCTGAACGTAAAAGCTTCCAAAAGTAAGAAACACTCTAGATTTGAAACAATATTAGTCCACTTCTCTAACTTCCTTGCTTAAATGTTGAAAAAAAAAAAAAAAAATGCAGTGTCGTCAGACAAAGACAGTCCGAATAAGTACCACAGAGCGATGACACTGTTTTATTCTCATTATCATCATTATCATCATCATCATCATCATCAATATCCTCAATTTTTACTTTGCCTTTTAGCGCCGCAGGGAGGATTAATTTGCCATCCACCCCCGAAGGGTGGCACAGCCATTGTCATTCTGGTGGATTTCATCTTTTGTTTCCCTGTGAACTATGCAGCCTCATAACGCAGTCGTCTGGACAGACGTAAGGGAGCCAATATAATTCTTTATGGTGCCTATTGTATGTGACAGTAAAAATGTGTTCGCGTTTTCTCAATATACTTGTTTAACAACGGAAGTAAATAAATCCATCGTTATGTTTTCTAGTTACAATCCCAAGCGAATGATTGTGAAACAAGGAAGACCACCCGAAACCTTCTACTATATCCTCTATGGACGTGGTAAGTGTACACTCAGTTTCTTAGACCCGTTTATTGTACATTATTAAAAGACATTTTCCTCTTTAAAAAAGAAAAAAAAAAAAAAATTTAAAGATTATCTTACTCCTAGCTGTCCTTATCCTTAGTTCTGAAAACACGTACTGGGCTAGGCACATTTTGACCTATCACAGCCAAATAGATTATGGCGTGTACTTCAGTCCTTTCATCTGTATGTGAGTCTTGTAATAAGGTGATCTTAGTTCCAACTTTATAGCAAACAGGTCACCCTATAGTTGCTCTGTTGGCTAGTTAGTTAATCGACAGATTATTCTCACTGTCCATCGGACAAGTCCATTAGCGCTCCGATCCCATCTTCAGTATATCGCTTAGCGTGATGTGACTGATTCCACCACATCTGTACTATTCTTCTTTGCCTACCTGTATAGTGTTCATGTTTGGCGACACTTCTTTTGACCTGAAGTTCTTGTAGTCCTTCGAGTGTTACCGATTCAGCGTCGTCTTTTAAATCATATGCTCGTCCTGCCTTATTGATAACACTGAGAAATTCGGCCGGTCCGTTACTTTTCCTGCACCTACCGAACTTACTGGCACAAAAATGAAACTAACTTTTTTTAGACGAGGTTTCCTCAGCGACTCAACCATTTTCTTCGAATACATCCTGTCTCTATCTTCTTAGGCATGCTTATGGAATCACCTAGAAAGCACACATTAGAAAAATTATGTCTCTGGAAACATCACTGCTTTTGTTACACCCATCACTTGTGCTCCGTTCCTGTGCCAACGAAAACGACAGACAATGTCCATCACTGTTCTTTGTGGAGAAAAATAATTGTTACAGACTGAAGTCTTAGCAAAGCCAACATAATAAATGAACAATGTTTATGAAAAAGCACTGCAAGCCCCAGTGACTACATAGTGAGTCACCTACACTTGATTGTTACTTAATAACCGCCCGATGCCCTATTAAAACAGTGTTGGGCAGTTGAACGGGGTTTCTGCCACTTGCTCCTGTTAGATTCCCACCTTAATGGTAACACCTTAAATCAGAGGTGTTATATCTTTTATATCTTTGTAAAGATAGTGGCGGTTGGTGGAAATGGGGGAGGGGGGGGGGGGGGCAAGCAGTGGGGGGATGTATAAGGCAATAAATAGTGCACTATATTGTGCACTCCCGGTCCTTAAGAAAGAAAATAGAGGCTTTTGAGTTAAAATGTTATAAAAAGATTCTCACAATAACATTGACAAAGAAGAGAAGAAACACTGAAATTTTAAAAGATTGGCTAATAAACAGAATCTTGACTGAAAAGCTGAAATATTTTGGTCAAATAAAGCACCATAGCGAATTGGGGGAAAAAACAACTATAGCAGAGGGCGTCGTACCAGGAAAAGGGGTGAGGGGGGGGGGGGGGCAAGAACAGACCAACACGAAGATGGGCACAAGAGGTAAGTGACACCTTGAATATGAAAGTATATGAGGTGAGAGAACTAGCGAGAGACCGAGTTTTTTTTCCCAGACAAACCGTGATGAGAGCGACGTTCTGCAAATTACCAGCTACATGATGATGACGATATTGTTTGAATAGTACCCCTTTCCACACCTTACGTGCATTATTTAGTGTTAAACCTATATTTTATAGACCAATGGATGATGTGGTTGACATTAAACTGGCCGCCTTTACTTCCCAATGCTTTACCTGGTACCCATTTAGAGTTAACGTAATTGCTTTGTTTTTCAAAAAGTTTGTCCTACGACTGTTAGATCTGTATTTAGTTTGTACACTCGTTTCCTGAATTCACAAAGAGAAAACACTGTTTTGTATTAATTAATGTGGTTATTTCACAGTGTTAGTGGCGGTTCGTGATGACATCACTGGCAAGGTTGAGGTCAAATGTTACCTTCACAGAGGTCACGCATTTGGGGTAACTGCTTCTTTCGTCACGTTAGTCAATGTTGACCTCTGGTCCGTTTCATGGTGTCATAGAACTACTCCTTGTATGTGCTGTCTGGTGTGATGTTTCACCATAAAACTACTCCTTGTATGTGCTGTCTGGTGTGATGTTTCACCATAAAACTACTCCTTGTATGTGCTGTCTGGTGTGATGTTTCACCATAAAACCACTCCTTGTATGTGCTGTCTGGTGTGATGTTTCACCATAAAACTACTCCTTGTATGTGCTGTCTGGTGTGATGTTTCACCATAAAACCACTCCTTGTATGTGCTGTCTGGTGTGATGTTTCACCATAAAACCACTCCTTGTATGTGCTGTCTGGTGTGATGTTTCACCATAAAACTACTCCTTGTATGTGCTGTCTGGTGTGATGTTTCACCATAAAACTACTCCTTGTATGTGCTGTCTGGTGTGATGTTTCATGGTGTCATAGAACTACTGCTTGTATGTGCTGTCTGGTGTGATGTTTCACCATAAAACCACTCATTGTATGTGCTGTCTGGTGTGATGTTTCACCATAAAACCACTCATTGTATGTGCTGTCTGGTGTGATGTTTCATGGTGTCATAGAACTACTGCTTGTATGTGCTGTCTGTTGTGATGTTTTACCATAAAACCACTCCTTGTATGTGCTGTCTGTTGTGATGTTTCACCATAAAACCACTCCTTGTATGTGCTGTCTGATGTGATGTTTTACCATAAAACCACTCCTTGTATGTGCTGTCTGTTGTGATGTTTCACCATAAAACCACTCCTTGTATGTGCTGTCTGATGTGATGTTTCACCATAAAACCACTCCTTGTATGTGCTGTCTGATGTGATGTTTCACCATAAAACCACTCCTTGTATGTGCTGTCTGTTGTGATGTTTCACCATAAAACCACTCCTTGTATGTGCTGTCTGTTGTGATGTTTCACCATAAAACCACTCCTTGTATGTGCTGTCTGATGTGATGTTTTACCATAAAACCACTCCTTGTATGTGCTGTCTGTTGTGATGTTTCACCATAAAACCACTCCTTGTATGTGCTGTCTGATGTGATGTTTCACCATAAAACCACTCCTTGTATGTGCTGTCTGATGTGATGTTTCACCATAAAACCACTCCTTGTATATGCTGTCTGGTGTGATGTTTCACCATAAAACCACTCCTTGTATGTGCTGTCTGATGTGATGTTTCACCATAAAACCACTCCTTGTATGTGCTGTCTGATGTGATGTTTCACCATAAAACCACTCCTTGTATGTGCTGTCTGTTGTGATGTTTTACCAT